CATTCTAACACAAATGCAACAAAACATCTTTGTACAATTGAAAATACCGCTTCAAACAGGCATTTTATCATAGTACATCAGTTTCTAACTGTTTACAATAGCTTTTTGAGTTTTAACCCAAAACGTAAATTGGGATCAAAACTCATACGAAAGTCTAGTTTTTGTCGCTTTTTGCCATTATGGCTCAATATTGAAAAAAATTTCCTCTTAATATTTAAATAATGTCATCACAGAAGAAGTTGTGCAGGAAAAGCGTGCAGACGCAAAGTTTGGGAAAATTCCACATTGCTGTGACCTTTGGCTGAGCGCATTCACAGCTCCCATAACGCAGTTCGGTCTTGGTATACAGCATGAAACAAAAGCTCCACCCTCCTTTTTCGAAATAGCTGTATTCAATAGACCCTTTTCGAGTTCCAAATTACCGTTGTGTTTCTTGATTACGGACTCATTTACTCAGCGGGCTTAGCCTCGATTTTGGCCCGTCGAGTTTCAAAGTGTTCGTATTGTTGAAGTTGTGCATTCTTTACTTTACCGTTGGTATTTGTGAATAGTTAGACACTGATTCGAGGCTTAGCCTGAGTAAATGAGTCTGTAATCAAGAAACACAGGGKTAATTTGGAACTAGCGAATGTGGTGCATTGTGGTCATAAACCTTTCGTATAACATCTTGCCTTATACGGTTTTGCTTTACCAAAGATAGACTACAAACAATTTAAACCATAGTTAATAGAGGGGAATGGTTAGGAAACCTATTGTTATCAGGTCTTTGTTCGCTTTTGATGTTGAACCGGTCTTGACCATGCACAATGTTTGATTTATGCTCATCCGAAATTGCAAAATAAGTAAATGGGATTGTTGTAAGGAATATTCAAATATCTCTTGTAAATCTTTAGTATTTTGAACTAGCAGCTAAAAGAAAGATTTTGGTCTGTTCACTCAGCCATTGCCAACAATAGTAAAACAATGGTAAAACAAAGGATTGTGCACGGTCACGCTTGAAAAAAAGTGAACAAAGACTTATAACAAAAGGGTTTGCTAGCCATTCCCCTCTATTGATGGGTTGCAAGCATTCCCAAAAGAGTTAAAAGACAAAAACATGGCGGCCATTGTGGTACCGTTAACAATGGATGCTAATGAGAAATCTTTTGTTAAATGGTACCAACATGGCCGCGATGACGTAACGTGCAAACGAAGAATTAACTATGGTTAAACATGTAAAATGATAACAATCCTATCCAGTTTCTTGTACAATCGCTTCCTTCAATTTCCATGTTCTCGGCTGTCCTTGCATAAAGTCTTCAGTTCCAACAAGATCCACACGCGTCTTGTATTCAAGCAGTGCATCCACGCTCAATGGCTGCCATGATTTAACTATATCAATCTTTCTTTGTCCTTGAGAGCTGATGGGTGCAGACAAAGTCCCTCGTAGCGAATATTGTTTCTTGGAGTCCTTGCCGTTTTCTGTAGTACTATCATTAGCAAAGCCAGCTACTTTATGACGYTTACTAAACTCGCCTTTACATTCAGCCATCTTCTCAGTCAGGAAAGAAATTTTGTCCAAACCAAGTAAGAGTGGTTGGTCTTTGCTYTCTTCTCTTGTGGTCACCTCACCTTTATCGTTTGCTTCAGCTACGAGCGATTTTGTTCTACCAGAAGAAAGAGGGAGCAGCTCCACCTTGTCGTATAATAGAAAGAATATCAACGTTACTCAGAAATACTATCAATGAAAGTTCTGATTTGAATTCAGTGGAATGAATTGCCCCAAAATTGCACGATTCAGGTTTAACGGCATGCATGTACATGAAAACGACAGCTTAAAGTACACCTGATACAATACTTTCAGTATTGATTCTACATAAYGTGAATAGTTGAATGGTGAAATATATCTTCATTTAAATGTCACATCTTTGAAGTGCAAATAAACCCTTCGACAATACTTTCAGTACTGATTCTACATGAAGTAAATAGTTGAATGGTA